AACTGAGACTTGGATGGACAGGGAAGGGGGTGTTCGCTGACCCTCGCCTGCCCTCCAGGTTATGCAGTTCAGCACCAGGGTAGACTGGAGGGGCAGGGGGCGAGTAGCCATTGCATATAAAAACACTCTAGAGGTTGTTAGGCCCTCCGCAGTGATGACACCAGGTCTTGAGGCCCTTCACATGTCAATTGGGGCCAGGGATGGTATTGGGATCTTGCTGGGTTACTGAGCTCCCCGTGACCCAGCCATTTCCTTACTAGAGCTGGTGGACTTCATCTCCGCGGCACTGTTGGAATCCCTGAGGCTTTTGGTCATGGGTGATTTCAACATCCTTGCAGAGGCGGAGGTTTCCAGTCAGGCTCTTGAGTTCTTGGAATCCATGGCTTCCTTGGACATGTTCCAACATGTCGACAGCCTACAACAACTGAATGGGCCACTGCAATAATTAATGGGTCTCTCCAGGAGGGCAAGGTTCCCTTTGCCCTCAAGGAGACATTCATTAGGCCTCTTAGGAAGAAACCAAATTTGGCGGCAGACGATATTGACAATTATAGCCCCATCTCCAATGTTTCTTTCCTTAGTAAAGTGGTAGAGAGGGTGGTGGCTGACCAGCTTCAGGCACTTCTGGATGAAACCAACGCCCTGGATCTATTTCAGTCTGGCTTCAGGCCGTGCCACGGTATGGAAACAGCATTGGTCACCCTGTTTTATTGCTTCCTGAGGGAGGCTGACAGGGGCAAAATGTCTCTGTTGGTCCTTCTTGATATCTCAGCCGCCTTCGATACCGTTTACCATTGTATCCTCCTGGGGAGGCTCTTTGAACTGGGAATTGGTGGTCTGGCATTAGCCTGGCTCTGATCCTTCTTGGAGGACTGTCCCCAGAGAGTACAGCTTGGGGACAGTGTATCAGCTCTGTGGAATATCAATTGTGGGTTTCCGCAGGGCTCAATTATCTCCCCAATGCTGTTTAATATCTACGAGGCCACTGGGTCAGGTCATCAGCATATTGATGATGCCCAGCTCTACATTTCCTTTTTTTCTTACAACAGTGGATGCCGTTCCATCCCTTCAGCACTATCTAGATGCCATACTGGGATGGATGCAGAGGATGCAAATGGTCAGAGGCTGAACTTGGACAACATGGTAGGTCCTGAGGGAGGTTGGCCCAGACATTGGTGGTTTGGGAAACTCCCTCACTTTTTTGGGGGGGGTGACTCTCACCATGAAGACTGAGTTTCACAGCTTGAGGGTACATCTTGATCCAGCGCTTACCATGGAAAGAGTCAGTGGTCCGCACCGCCTACTTTCATCTTCGGCAGATCGTCCAGCTGCGTCCCTATCTTGATGTTGGGGTCCTGACCACTCTGGTCCATGCAGTTGTAGTCTCAAGATTAGACTACTGTAATGCGATCTATGTGAGGCTACCTTTGAGATTGATGTGGAAGCTTCAAATGGAGCAAAATGCGGCAGCCAGATTTCTTAATGGGGTGAGAAAACACCATATCTCCCACACTCTGGTGGCCTTGCATTGGCTACCTGTTTATTTCCACATTGATTTCAAAGTATTAATGATTACATATAAAGCCCTAAATGGTTTAGGACCTCAATATCTGGTGGAATGCCTTCTCCCACCTAGATCTACCGGTATCACTCACTCTAGCCAGGATGGGCAGCTGAAGGACCTAACACCAAGGGAGGCCCAAAGAGAAAGAACAATGAAGTGGGCCTTCTCAGCAGTGGCCCCTTGGCTCTAGAACAATCTTCCCCCCAGAAATTTGTCTGGCTCCCTTGCTGGGCGGTTTTAAGAGCCAACTTAAGACCTGGCTCTTCAGACAGGCCTTCCCTCCTGTTGATACCTAACTTATTTCACCATCTTCTAGTATATTAATATTGTTTTTTATTTTAATATTGTTGTTAGCCGCCCAGAGTAGACTTCAGTCTAAATGGGCAGGATATAAACAAAAAAAATAAATTAGTATAGCACCCAGAAATTGGCTACCAATTACATTGTCTATTTTTCACCATGTTTTCTAAACTCACATAAACTTCACAATTAGTAAAAGAATGTCATAAAGTTTGAACAATCTGGCTTAAAACACTGCCCAATGTGTATTAGAAGTAATTACCCATTGTATTCTCAAAGGCTTTCACGGCCAGGATCCGATAATTGTTGTGGGTTTTCCGGGCTGTTTAGCCATGTTCTTAAGGTTTTTCTTCCTAACGTTTCACCAGTCTCAGTGGCCAGCATCTTCAGAGGACAGGAGTTAGAACACTGTCTGTGCTCTGGTGTAGTTTGTTTGCATAGCTGAGCATTTATATTGAGTATTTATATGTGGGATCAAATTTCGTCCTTTTGAGGAGATTGGGTGATTATAGTGATCGGCGTGTTTTTTGTTATGAGTGTATAGTTGTGATAAGGAGGAGAGATTATCTGTCACTGTGATTGATGGGTGCCGTTAGCTAGTCTTTTGTGTGCAGTGATCACCGGTCCTTGTGGCTGGATAGAGTTCATTGACCTTTTGCAGGCTGTATTTTTCAGTACTGGGTGCCAGGCTTTGTTGAGTTGTAAACTTTCTTCTTTTTTGTTGAAGCTCTTCTGGTGTTTGTGGATTTCAATGGCTTCCCTGTGCAGTCTAACATAATGATTGCTGGTGTTGTTCAGTACTTTTGTGTTTTGAAATAGAATCTCATGTCCATCTTATTTTAGGGCATGTTCAGCTACTGCCGATTTTTCCCGTTGTTTTAGTCTGCAGTGTCTCTCATGTTCTTTGATTCTGGTGTGGATGCTGTGTTTCGTGGTTCCAATATATATCTGGCCACAACTGCAAGGTATCTAGTATACTCCTGCAGTGGTGAGCGGGTCCCTTTTGTCCTTTGCTGATCATAACATTTGTTGTATTTTTGTGGTGGGCTTGAATGCTGTTTGTAGGTTGTATTTTTTCCAACGTTTCACCATGTGGTCCGTGACCTCTTTGATGATCAAACCAAGAAAACGACACCAAACTGAAGAGGAATAACAGCCATCCACAAATAAAATATTTCTGCCATACATCAAAGGGATCACGCGATAATCACCCAATATCCTGAACTGCACTCTGTTTACTTTTGAATTTTAACTTCGTCATGCTTTTGTTAGTCCCCTTCCTGTAACACTTTAAAAGGGAATACATCTCCTGATATATGTGATGTCCAGGCACTGACTGTGGTTCCATGACTACAATGATTATTACAACATTGTGTTGTGGTTTACAGTGTTACTTCTAGCATTTTGTTTAGCTTGATGCTCCTTCTGTAATTAACAAACCATAAGCATTTCCAGGACCATGGGCAGATTTTTGTGTCATCACAACACACTGTGTACTCCAGATTTGTAACAATAGAATTCTTAAAATTCGACCTTAAATAGCTCTTGACTGGAGCTGGGGAGAGGAGGGTGACTATTGAAATTTTGGGCTGAGGTGAGCCCTGTTCAGGTCCATGGGCTGCTCCAGGTTCTACCATTCCAGAACAAAAAAGGAGATCAACTGTGGGCTAGGACGGACCCTTTTGGTGGGTAGGTCTGGTGGTTTCTTGCCATCCCAGAATCTTTCTGATTGTCCTTTGTCTCTTTCCTTTTCGCTGATCCATCAGTGCTGGTACATTACCTGTCACCTTTCGCTGCCTTGAAGAAAATCTGGGTATTGACAAGCGTGTGACAAGATTTGTATTGCCCGTTGGAGCCACTATTAATATGGATGGAACTGCCCTTTATGAAGCAGTGGCTGCCATCTTCATAGCACAGATGAATGGAATCGCATTGGACGGTGGACAGATAGTGACAGTCAGGTGGGTTTCTTATCTGACATGAAGCTTGAAAACATATACTTTTTTGTTTAATACTTCACAAATCCTCGATGTGACCAACAACCATGTCAGCTAGTGGATTAGTCTGGGAACTTTATCCAGACAACTTCAGATTTCCAAACCCTGTTTTGACATTAGAAGTAGTAAAATAATAATAATAATAGTCCAGGGATGATTGCTCCAAAGCAGTTTGCATTTAGAAATAGTTGTGAACCTTTGTTCATACTGAGAACTAGTTAAGTCTCTAATAAGCAATGGAGAGCCATAAATGCTAGAAATATGGCTCTCCATTGCCACATTTGTACACACATCATGTGTTACATTCTACAGATGGCGGTCACCAGATATGGGAAAAGTTGTATTTTTGGACTGCAATTCCCATGTGTTTTGGTCCCAGGAGTTGTAGTGGTCCAAAAAGAAGGTTTTTCTGCATCTCTGTAAACTGCAGTTGAAATGATTCCTGTGTAGAGATTTCATGGGTGTAACATACGAAATGTGTAACATATGACATGCCTCTTTACTATTATCTAAAACCTAGTGCAAGACTAGGTATACAAGTGTTAACTCCGTAACCATAGGCACCTCACTGCTGAGATTTACATCACTGCACTTAATTTCAGAGTAAGCAAGTAATAGGATCTGGCAATTATGTGAACATGTTGAATAGAGTTTCTTGTTGCACTTGATTGTGCTTTTTCAGCTCTCTTGAATACTGCCTTCATCCACTCTTAAATGGCAATGCTAACAGGAAAATGTTGTGGTTTTTTTTTTTCAAAATCATGATATAGTAGCTCAAAAGAGAGTTATTTTAAATAAAAGCTCGCTGAACATATGGTAAGCTTAGTTAGAAACACTTGAATGGGCAAAACATTATTGAAGGCAGAATGAAATTAATGGCTTGGATGGGTGGGGGCTGTGTTGCTACGGAATTTGTTGGCGATCACAGCTAGAGACGATGTCTGGTAATTCCAGCATTGTTAAGAAAAATATACGTGGATAAACTCTAATTAAACAAACTAATGTGCTTAACTTTACAGCCTGACAGCTACCCTTGCAAGTGTTGGAGCTGCAAGTATACCTAGCGCAGGACTGGTGACGATGCTTCTCATTCTCACAGCTGTAGGTCTTCCCACACAGGACATCAGCTTACTAGTTGCGGTGGACTGGCTCTTGTGAGTAACACCAAAAATAAAAAATAAAAATTGTAACCTCTCTTAATCATCCTAACTTCACCTGCTCTGCAGTAGAGCTCCCATCTGCTCAACTATTTCTTTTCCTCATATTCCTGAGTGCACACTAGGATCCAATATATAGTTGGTCATTCTGAATAGTAACACATAACTTTTTCCATTTTTTTGCTGCCTGGCCTCTTGACAAATTCCAGGTCAGCTACAGAACAAGTGAGGCTTCTCTTTTTTTGGTGTGTCTGTTGCAATAGCACAATAGCAGATTCAGTAATTGCTCTCTCTCTCTCTCTCTCTCTCTCTTTCTCTCTGTGTGTGTGTGTGTGTGTATGTGTGTGCACGCGCACGCCCATGCAAGTGCAACACGTGTGCACGCTCGCACATGTGTTACAAATTCCTTAAGTTTTTTAGAGCTGCTTGTGGAATGATACATCAGAGAAAGAATGCCACGGAGACCAGTGGGATTTCTAATGCTATCTAGTTTAATTCTGAGTTTTCAGTAAATCAAATAAGTACATCCACCCACACATACCTGTATCCCGGGGTTGGCCAGGTCAAACAAAGGGCAGTGGGAGACATGGGCACACCTTAATGTTTCTATAGGTGCCTTTCTAAAGGCACCTATAGAAGTCCTCCTTTTTTATGGCTTCCCGCAACTTTGGGATCCTCCACCAGAAAGTTGTTTCTTCATCATTTCCAGATCACATCATCTTCAACTGTTTTCCTCTGATTCCTGTTGACTTTTTGTTGTTTATCTGTTCCTCTTCTGGTGACTTACTAGTTCAAACACCTGTTTACAGTTTCTTTTCTGCATGGAGCACTCTGTCCTTTGGACACTTACAGTTCAGGTGCCTTTGTTAGCAAACAATCCTCTTGCTTTGATTGCCCTGGTCTCATCCTAATTAATAACTCCATTATTGTCTATTATGACTAATTCTGTTACCTGTTCATAACACTTGGCATAATATTTCAATGCATTTCCCCCAGTTTAAAAACAAATCCCAGATTAGTTCATATACCGAAACAATACAGAGTACCTTAAATCAGTTTTTAAAGCACCATATGAAAATATTAAATCAACAGATATTAATGAGGCAGAACAGTAAAATGAAATCAAACAAAACAATAAAATTATTTCTTAAAAACCCACTGCAAGCACACACTGGAACGTTTGAGCACATTTTTTTTTAAAAAGTCACCACCAGAACAACTGAGAAGCTAAAGCATCTCTGGGGAAACAATGGTATATGTGCAAAATGCATCGTGAGGGATGGGACACTGCTTTCTCTCATCCTTGGAGACAAGCCTCGAATGACGTATCAGAGATGGATAAAGCTTTTTTTTTTTTTACTGCAGTTCCCAGAATCACTCAGCCAGCATTGCCACTAGTAGTTGTAGTCCAAAGGAGTTCAATCTCAAAGTCGTAGTCACCTCAGAACAACATTTATCTCTGTGGAGAGACATAAGGTTGGCAGAAGGAAGATTGTTATTTTATTTATTTATTTATTTATTTATTTGATTTATTTATTTGATTTATTATTTATTTATTTATTTATTGATTGATTTATTGATTGATTTATTGATTTATTGATTTATTGATTTATTTGATTTATTTGATTTATTTGATTTGTTATGATACTTGAAACAAAAGGTCTGTCAAAGCATAACACAAAGTGAAGCAAAGCACACTGCCTGGCTTATGTACATCCTCATGGTGCTTAAAGCTGTCTCTGAGAGGATTACAATTTAATTATGCAAGCTACACATTGCACATCCACACCCACACACCAGTGAGCCTGTGTATTCAATTTACTGACCTCAGAAGGATAGAAGGTTGAGTCAACTTCAAGTCAGTTACCAGAGCCCGGGAGTCTTATCATATCCTGAATGTTATAAATAATCTGGAACTCTGAATTAATAAATAGGTATAGTAAATAATCTGGAATTCTGACAGAAGACACCAATATATAGGGGAAGCAAGGTATACCTCAGCAGTTAGCAAAACACAGATTACATTCAGTGTTGCTAGTTTATTTATATAGAAGTATGACTCAGGGCAGGAACAAGGAGAGTGTATTCATATTTTAAAGACATGTTTATTTTGGATTAGAAATGAGCAAAGACCTAGAGCCAGTAGGAGGATGTTAAATTAGTGTGCATAGTTGTTTGTTGTTTCAAGGAAATGTCATTTCCATACATGTCACTTAACAAAGAAAGCTGCCTCCTGTATGGACAGGTTCCAGAGCCATAACTCACTGAGCAGAGGCTGCAGGCCAGGCAGAGAGATCCAGTTGTATCAATCTAAACCTTTCACATGTAGGTTGTGGTAGAACTACCTGTCCCCTTGAGCAATTCCTGTGGTGAGCTCTAATGATGACATTGCTTCCATGGAAAAGGTCAGAGAGAGGAAGAAGAGCTCAGTGTAATACCAAGAGGACCTGAAGGTCAACCGTGAAACGTCCTTGAATGTGTGAACAGCAGTCCTAGATGTGTCTTCCCTAGACCATACGCAAGATACTTTTTTCGACTGCAACTCCCAGCCTAGCTAGTAGTCCCTACCTAAATGGAATTTTTTGCAAGATATAGTTGAAAAAGGTGGCTTTTTCAAGGTCCACACTTTTAGAATAAACAGAAAAGTTTAAGCCTGATTTGCTCAGCTTTTCTGGTTTGAGGCATATTTAGCTTCATATTATGTATTTCAATTCCACCAGCATAATAATCTATGCAGCACATTTAGGGCTCATTTTTAATACTTTCTTTTTTCTTTTTGCTAGTAACTTCACATTTAAAAATGTTTCAAACATTAGAAGGCCCAAATGAGGCTACTAACATTTTCATTTTGTGAAAGGAAAAACTATTGCAAGTAGTAGCTTCTTGAAGTGCAATGGATTTATTCTCTTCCTTCCTTCCTTCCTTCC